CTACCGTCACCTCGCAGACTCCAGTCTCACCCACCCTCACAAATCCACCCTCCCTACTGCCACCAGAGTCGTTTTTCTAAAGTGCACATTTAACCCTTGCTTAAAATGCAGTCAAAAAAACAAAAAAAAATTTAATCACAGGATAAAACCCAAAACACTTAACCAGGCCCACGAAGCCCTGCGAGATCTAGCCCTTGCCTACCTCTCTGGTGTCACTCTCTCCATGTGTTCACTACACTCAGCTCCTTCGCCTCCTCCAATGCACTAAGCTCTTCTTGGTGTTAGGGTCTTAGCATGTGCTGTTCCCTTTGCCTGGAAGGCTGTTCCCTCAGCTCTAAGGCTGGCCAATGCCTCCTCATCCTTCAGATCTCAGCTGAAATGTCACATCCTCATACAAGTTTTCCCTGACCCCTCCCAGGTAAATTATGACCCCTACGTCGCTCTCTCACTCAGAACTTGCAATTCTTCTCCTTCACCCACTTACCAACATCTCAAAGCTTCTGTTTTCTTGAGCTTATTTATTTAATCTCTGTCTCTCCCACAGCTCAAACTCTCCATGAGAATAAGGACTGCAGTCTCTCCTGTTTGCAGCTGTACCCCCACCCCCAGCCTAGGACCCACATAAAAGTAGACACTCGATAACTATTTGTGGAACAAATGGGTCTTTCATCTCGTCCTCATCAGAACCCCATTCCTGGGCTTGCTTTCATCTCTGTCCTTTGCATGAGTTGCTTCCTCTGCCTGGAAGGTTCTTTTCTCCCCTCCCACCTGGGCTGATCTACACCTCATTTAAGACTAAATTTCTTTAAGATTTGACCTTGACCCCATCATTTGAATTAGGGTTTCCCTTTGGGCTGCCCCTAGTACCCCATACATAACACTCTACCATACCACTTTAAAACTGCAAATTGTCAGGTAAACAGGAGAGATTATGAACAATAATGATCTACTCTCGCCTCTCCCCCGGCCCTCTCGGCTCCAGTCAGCTCAAGGGCATCTACTCTGCCTTTCAAACCACCAGGAACCCCATTTCCCAGTCAATTAATATGCACCAATCAGGCGTCCACTGTGTTGTTGTCTTTCCTGCAGCCCTGGAGGAGTGGGTGGGGGAAGGACAGGGTTCTTCCAAGGGTAGATGGAAACAGGTAAAAGCATCAGAGGTGCGAAACAAATGCCCAGCCACGCACACCCATGCTGCAAATGGGCACACAGGAGGCTGGGGCTGAGGGGTGGGACTAGTCCATTCAGTTCTACCTCCTTCATTGAGTACCTACTGGGTACAGGGCACTGTAGTGGGCACTAAGGGAGGCAGAGAGGCGAGCCTAAATGCCAGGCAGACATGCCCTGGCTGTTACCTCCAGCACAGCTGTACCAGGCTTGGTGCATGACCGAGTTTACTGTGTCTGTGGTCTGTCTTCCCAACCTGGAGCAGCTGGAGGGACCAAGGTCAGGTAAAGATGCCAGAGGCATCTCAGCCAAACCCAGGGGTTACTTTTCTGTCTCTACTTGGCCTCTCTTATCCTTTGCCTTGGTGACCACTCCCTCCTCCCTGCCACTGCCCAGGGTTTATCAAGATGCCACCTCCATCAAAATCGCCTGGGGTGGGGGCAGGGGCTTGTAAGAAATACCTATTCCTGGGCTCCCATCTATGGATTAAGGCTATCTAGGTAGGATCCTCGTATCTGCATATTGTACAATACCCCCACCCTCCTTGGCACACTCAAGTATGAGAACCCCACTGCTCCAGAATCAGCCCCCCCACCATCCTTCTTGCCCCTGTTTGACAGTTCCTCCCCAGGATCGTTGGGGTTCTGCTCTTCCTCCGCCCACCCCTTAAATGCCAGGGTGCCCAGAGCTCCTCCATCCATGCTCCCTGTTCCCCTTGCACCCTCCACCCCTACAGCATCCTAGGCTAGCCTTCTTTCTGCCCTTGGATGACCAAGAGCACCCAGACTTGACATGGCCAAAGCCGCCCCCACCACCCCCTCCCCACGCCCGTGGTGCCCGCTCAGCAGTCATCTGGTCTGTTGCCCAAGTCAGAAACCTGGGGGTCATACGTGGCTCCCTCTTCCCTCCTCCTCCCTCATTTCAGTCACAAATCCTGATCATTTTGCTTCCTAAAAATGTCTTCAGTCTCCCTCTCTTTCTCTCTCCCCAGACCACCGTGTTTATCCCCTACTAGTTCCCTCCTTCTCTTCTTCACTCAAAAACAAAAAAACTCATCGCCATCAAGTTGATCCCAACTCATGGTGACCTCATGTGTTACAGAGTAGAACTGCTTCATAATGTTTTCTTGGCTGTAATCTTTACAGAAGCAGATCACCAGGCCTATCTTCCACGGCATTGCGGAGTGGGTTCAAACTGTCAACTTATAGGTTAGTAGCCAAGAGCAAGCCGTTTGTGCCACCCAGGGACCTTTTTCTCCCTCTCGTTGTTATTGCTGTTAGATGCTATTGAGTCAGTTCGACTCATAGCCACGCTATAGTCTCTCTATATCCAATGAACTCTCAAAAAGCTGTAAAAAAAAAATACAAATCTGACTGTAATTACCAACCCCTTAAAAGCCTTCAAAGGTTCTTCATAAACAAAGGTCCCAACCCTTTGACCCTCCATTACCTGGTCCCAAGCCTGAGTTTCAGCCTCCCCTCTGTGCTTCCAGTTCCAGCCTCCAGACCTTTGATCATTCAGTGCCCCTGACAGGAACAGCCTTTGACTGTCTCCTCCTCACAACCTAACCTCACCTCCTCCAGGCCTCACCTCCTCCAGGAAGCCCTCCCTGAACCCTCCCTGCCCCCACCCCCCTTCCTTAGTGCATCCATAATGCTTTCAACAAGCATCTGTTTTTCTACTCACCACACTGTTATAGTTATCGATTTTTCTGTCTCAGCTCTGCACTGGCCGGTGAGGTCCTTGAGGGCAGGGATGGTGTCCCATTCATCTCTGTATTCCAGCCCCTGGAGTGGTGCCTGGCACTGAGGACATGCTCGGCCAGTGGTTGATGGATGAATGTGGAGGGGGCACTTGAAGGAAGTGAGAGCCAGGAATGACCAAGAGGGGAGTGAGGGCAAGCCTAGCAGGAGCTGCCAGAGACAATGTGTGGGAAGTGGAAAAGCGAGAACTTCCATTTACTGCACTCCTATGACTGTCCGCCAGCCATTGTGCCTGCATTTTGTTTGCACATCTTGTCTCATTTCGTTCTTGCAACAACAGGTCAGGAAACTAGCATCAGAGAACCACAGCCACCTGCCCAAGGTCACACAGCTAGGCCTGGAGTGGAAACCAGGACTCTCTGCCTAAAAGCCTGCAGTCTTTCTGCTGGGCCACACGGCTCTCCAGGGGACAGGACCTTCTGGAGATGGACAAGGAGTGGGCCTAGTTCCACCTCTGCTTCACTGAGCACCGGAACCTGCTGCCCACACACAGGCCAGCAGCTTCTTCCTCCCTGGCGACTAGGGGCTGGGAGGCCAGACAAGGATTTACCTGTTCCATCCTCCCCTGGCTTTGGGGGTCCTTGACTAGGTATGCATCCCCTCCCCCCACCCCCAACAAGGGAAGGGCTGCTGAATCCTGGTACACCCCAGGGTGCCTAGAGGACGCAGGGGGCTCTGTGATGCTGTCTGGCTTCTGCAGAATCTGCCTCTCTCACTGCACTTGGCCCAGGATAATATTAAGATTCATCTGCATTCCTCTTGCACCCGCCTGGCATATGGTGGGGGAGGAGGCTGGGTGTGTGCTGGGGCTGCAGCCAGGGACCAATCTAGGCCTTGGAGGGCCACAGCAAAGCAACCACCCAGCTGCACCCCACCGGCCCAGCCCAGGCTAGGGGCCACTCCAAATGATGGGGTACTTCTCACCCTCACAGTCTCCCAGGGATGCCAGGGCCTGACTTTTGATTTTTCTGAAGACTAAAGGAGCCCCGGATTGGAGGAGAAGACCTAAGATAAGGAGGGCAGGTGATGGGGGCAGCCCATCTTTGGTGATCTCAGATCAGGGTCTTGTTCTTCCTCCTTCCCTCAGAGGTTTGCAGGGACCCAGTGGGAAGGAGCCTCATCTTCCAGCCTGGCTGCCAGCTGGGCCACAGGGAGGGGTAGGGAGTGAAGAATGGAGGGGCAGCCTCCAGGGAGACCATGCCCACCCCTCTCGAGCTTTTCAGGAAGCTTACTCCAGGTCCCAGCCACAAAATTCCTCCTGGCCCCTGGCAGGCAGCCTTTTCCACCAGGGCCCCAGAGAGGAGAGGAGAGGCTGAAGAAAGCCATAAGCTTCTTGTCACAAAGATTGGACTGAGAAGGCCAACGGACTACCGCAGCCCCTTGAGTAAGGGAAAGAGGAAGGGAACTGACATTATAGCAAAAGGAGTGCAGGCTAGACACTTAGAAGAACTTCCCTCAGCACAGAAGCAAGTCTTGCAGGGAGAGAGTGGCCTTTAGGCTGTGCAGATAAGCTACCTTGACAATAAGGAAGACTTTTTTTTTTTTTCGTTATTAGAATGGGTTTGGAAAAAATGACCTTTCCAAATTCCAGGTCTCCCAGGCGAGGGGGTGGGAAAGCAGCACACTCCCGATGTCCTCTCCGAGGGAATAGGCGCCCTGCCAGAGGGGTGGAAAAGGCAGGGTCCCCATTCCCTGGCCATCATCCTCTCTCTTCGTCCACAACAGAGTTACTCAGCCCCCGCACCTTGCCCCCTTGGGGCTGGAAAGCGAGCGTCCCAGGTTCCCAGGCTGCGGGCCGGCAGGGGAGGAGTTAACTCCGGAGGTAACCGGCTGGGCTCACTGTACCTGCCGCCGCTCCCGCCGCCGCCGCCGCCGCCGCCGCCGCAGCCAGTGGGAGGGACGAGGAAGCGGGAGCCGCCTGGGCGCCAGGAGCACTCCAGTCTGGCGGGGCGCTGCGCGGGGAGCGGGCGGCCCGGGCTCGGCTTGACTAGGGGCGTCCGCCAGGGGGCGTGCCGCGACGGGGCGGGAGGGGCCGTCTGGCCTGGGGAATTAGCACCGGGGACGGGCGCGCGCGCGGGTCCCCAGCACATCTGGGCGAGAGCGGCGCAGCTGGAACCGAGGGGGGCGCCGAGCGCATATCTGGAGCGGCGGAACCACAGCGCAGCTGGGGCCCTTCGAGGCCCTCGGGGAGCACATCTGGGACCTCGGGAGCCGCGCAGCGCGCAGCTGGACCAGTGCAGGGAGGCGGTGGCTATACTGCTGGACCGAAGGGGGCGGGGTCGGTCCTGGAAGATTGGCAAAGGGAAGGGCCGCGAGCCACCGGAGCCTAAAGGAGCAGAGGTGAAAAGGGGGCCCCGGACCCCGAAAGGAAAAGAGGCGAGAAAAGGGACGAGAGCAGAGAAGGACGATGCAACTGACTCGCTGCTGCTTCGTGTTCCTAGTGCAGGGCAGCCTCTATCTGGTGAGTGGTCTGCAGGGAGCCGGGCGCAGGGGCGCGGGCCCGGAGGATTGGGGGAGAGCACGGCAAGCTTCCGTGCCCAGAAACTTTCTCCCTCCCCTCGTCATCCTAGGGCTGAAGAGGGAGACCGGAGGCCGGGGGAGAGGGCGGGTCTGAGGCCGGAGACTGGACAGGAAGGGTTAATAGGGGCGGGGAGAGGGTGCTTGGCTGGCCCACCCACTCCGCTGCTGGTGGCGGGAGGTGCGACCTGCGCTGGGGAGAAGACTGGGAGCCGGGTCGCCAAGGGTTACCTGACCCTTGCCCGGGGCCTGGGACGCGTGGAAGGGAGGTGGGTTGTGGAGATGGTGACCTGCCGGGTGAGGGGGGCGTGGACCTTTCAGCTGCCCTCGTGGACCCGGAGGGCCCCGGCACTGGGTCCCCCAGCACGCGGAGCTGGCCCCGCGTCCCTCGCTCCCGCCTTCTCTCCCGTTCCCTCCCTCCCCGCCTGTTGTTTTCCTCTCTTCTCCCGGCTGCGCGCAGCCCGAGCCCCACAGGACCTGGGCTGGCGGCTCCCGCCCCGGGCGCTCGCAGCAGCTGAGCAGAGCGCCCCGAGCCCGCTCCCCGAGCGCTCGCTGGTGGCTTTCCGGCGGCCAGGACGCCGGGGCACCCTACCCCCCACCCCAACCTAGGGCTTAACTCCCCTCTGGCCCAAAGCCCCCCCGCCCCATTATCCTGTCATGGAGAAGCGAGGGCCCGGCCCCCCGTCTGGATCTGCACCTTATCTTTAAACAATATTCCCGTTTGCCTTCACCCCTAGTTCAGTGTTCAGGAACCTTCTCTTCTCACATCCCCACCGACTGCCCTTTTTTATCTCCCAGCCATGCAGCTGGGGCCCCTAGGGACAAGTGCACACAGGTCTGGAACCCTGAGCCCATCCCCAGGAGCCTCCCCCTCCTGGCTGTCCCTCTACTCCACCCCATCCTTGGGGCCTGGAGTGTGATGGGCATGGCCACGGCGCACATCTGCTGGCATGACCATAGCCAGAACAGGGGGCATGAGGACCCAAAGCTCCTTTGGAGCCCTCCAGACCCCAGCCCCTCGGACATTCTCCCACCCTCATCCCAGGGTGACCGACAGATCCAGATGCTGCCCGCTCGGAGTTGGTGCCCCTGGTGCTGGTAACACAGACACACAGGGTGATGACTCTCTTTCAAAAGCTGAGCAGACACACAGCGAGTGCCTCAGGAAACCTTGTCAACTCCCTGAAGCCCTCCAGAGCCATGGGTGTTTGAGCTGGGTCAAGCCAGCCTGAGGCCCTTCCCACAGTTCCTCCAGGAAGCTTCCAGAGGTGTGGCCTGTGGCGGTAGCTGACCCAGCAGAGGCAGGGGGAGCCTCAGCAAGGTATTTCACAGGATTCTGTGTGGACATGGGGCTTGGCTAAAACCCCTTTAAAAGAATACATCTGGCCTGGGAATGTGTGGTGTAATGGGAGGGCTGACTTGGTCCCTCTGTGACCTTAGCCTTATAGTGATGTAACCTCTGAGACCTGGTGTCCTCACCTGCAAAATGGGAATAATAAGAACCACCTGATAATGCAAGTCAAGTCTCGGCATGTCATCATCAATGTTCCCCAGAGTGCTGTTTGGCTTTCCACACCCTCAGCCATCCTGGGTGTGGAATCCACTTCAGGTCTCCCCGTAGTCCTCCTGCCAAAACCTAAATTGCGTTTGTACTTGAGAGAGAATCTCACCCGGTTCGCTTAGTCCACTGTCTGTGGATTCCCTTTGCATCTGAGGGTAGAAACTAACCTAGGGTAGGGTGCTATTTCTACCACCAGACTAGGAAGTCTATAAGGTGGTAATTGTACCTCTCCTGTCCAACCGGGGGCCCTCCCAGGATGGACATGGAGCTCCCCTATCTGACTCAGGGCTTCTTGAGGGCAGAGACTGTGCCTCCCCAATCAGCCTGGGAATTTCACAGAGGCAAGGACTCTACCGCTCTTACCAGATTGGGGCTCTCTCAGCTCAGGGATGATGCTTCTACCATTGGATGGAGGTTCTCCCAAGATCAGAAGCTGTGCCTCCCCCATTAGACTGGGGACTCCCCGGGGTTAGGAACCAGGTGCCTCTAGTGCAGCCATCCACTGGAGAGAATTCTTGACCATCCTTACAGACTTTGAACGGAGGCAGGACAGTGGGGAGAGGAGGTGGGGATGACCTCGTCAGAACATGAGATGGGACCATGAAACGAGCCAGAGTATATGCCCGATCCCCAACATAAGCTGGCAACGTGCAGAGGCTCCTCACTGCCAAGTCAGAGTGGAAGGGTCAGGGACAGCAATGATGCTGGTGATGAGGAGCATGGAGCAAATACTTGGGTCCTCTGGGGACAGGGCTCTCACTCTCCTCCCAACTCTTTCCATAGGTCATCTGTGGCCGGGATGATGGTCCCCCCAGCTCGGAAGACGCCGAGCACGATGACCATGAGAGCCAGCCCCGGCCCCGGGTTCCTCGGAAGCGGGGCCACATCTCACCTAAGTCTCGCCCCATGGCCAACTCTACCCTCCTAGGGCTGCTGGCTCCACCTGGGGAGGCATGGGGCGTCCTTGGGCAGCCCCCCAATCGCCCAGTCCATAGCCCCCCACCCTCAGCCAAAGTGAAGAAGATCTTTGGCTGGGGAGACTTCTACTCCAACATCAAGACAGTAGCCCTGAACCTGCTTGTCACGGGGAAGATCGTGGACCATGGCAACGGGACCTTCAGCGTCTACTTCCGACACAATGCCACAGGCCAGGGCAACATCTCCATCAGCCTTGTGCCCCCTAGCAAGGCTGTGGAGTTCCACCAGGAGCAGCAGATCTTCATCGAAGCCAAGGCCTCCAAGATCTTCAACTGCCGAATGGAGTGGGAGAAGGTGGAACGGGGCCGCCGGACCTCGCTCTGCACCCATGACCCAGCCAAGACCTGCTCCCGAGACCACTCCCAAAGCTCAGCCACCTGGAGCTGCTCCCAGCCCTTCAAAGTCGTCTGTGTCTACATCGCCTTCTACAGCACAGACTACCGGCTGGTGCAGAAGGTGTGCCCAGATTACAACTACCATAGTGATACCCCCTACTACCCTTCCGGATGACCCTGGGGAGGCCACAGAGGCCAGGCCAGGGCTGGAGGACAGGCCTGCCCAGGGAGAGAGCCATCTGTGTGGACACTGGGCAGGGAGGGGGGTGGAGAAGAGGAGATGCCAAGTGGAGCCAGGGCCAAGTCTTAGGCGGAGGGGAAGGGGTCCCATATGCTGGTCCCAACCTGAGGTTCTGGAGCGCTTAGAGCACAGAAGCAGCCTTCCGGGGCTTTCCACACTGAGAGACAAGAAGATGCTAGTTCCAGGAAGCCCCTGGGACAGGAAGAACATTGTAACCCCCAGCTAGTCATGGAGAAGAGCCTAAAACCTTGGCTACCTCCCTGCCACACTGAGAAAGGACAGCAACAAGAAGAGGGAGCACTTCATCAGTGTGGACTCTAAGGGGACAACTAAGAATGGCTGAGACTGGGATTACTGAGAGTCAGGGGTAGGGTGGGGGCAGGAAGAATTCTCTGGCCCAGTCCAGTGGACAGTCCTAAGCCCCTTGTCTTGATCTAGCACAGCATGAGGCTAACGTGGTGACTCTTGGGATCTTTGATGTCTGAACAAATAGAACATCTGCCTCTGGCCACACCACTCCTCTCCAAAATTCCCTCTTCTGCCAGCTCTCCCCACTCCCACCCAGCCTGTTGCTGAGGGGACACCAGTCCTTGAGCTGAGACAGAGGGCAATCGTGGTCCTCCCAGCAACAGAGGCCACAGGTGGAAGCCCATGGGGGTGCCATGTGTCCCTCCCTGACCCCACCTCCTGCTGGCTCCTCTAGGGGCTTCCTTGTCCCAGACAGTGGTCCCTCGATGGTCAACCTTGCCCATCAGACTGGGCTACAGCCTCCTCTCTCCCCGTGGGGCCCTTAGCAGCTTGGGTGAGATGGACTGTGGGAAGGTACTGGATCTGTTTTGTAGTATCTGTCTGTGGGCAGGGGGAGGGGAGGGGAGGTCTTGTGACATTGCCTTGGTTGTTGACTTCCGTTTGCAAAATCTTGTTCTTGGAGTAGGGAATAAAGCTTTCCCGGGGCCTTAGAGTCCGAGTTGTCCAGGAGAAAGGGCCCTCCCATGCATTCCCAGTGCAGGCAACATTTCTCAGAGGCAGCGGGTCCTGGAGACCAGAGCCGCAGGGTCTCAACAGATGTAGGAGCTGTGCTCACTGAAGGCTTCAGGCTCCCTCTCCAGCCCCCTTCCCAGGCTATGAGATCCAGCCCTGGAAAAGCCGCGTGAACACAGTTTGGCACTGGTAGGTGGCATCTGCAAGAGCAGCTCCAGGAGGAAGAGCTAGCAGGAGGAATGGGCCAATTAAGGGTGTTCCTTGTTGCCCTCCATGAACTGCCCTCTGGGTAGGCCTTGCAGTGGGCAGTGGCCAGAGATGGGGGCAGGGAGTGTCCTAGCTCTGTCATTATTTTGCTATGTGGCCTTGGGCCAGTCCATTCTCTTTGGGTCTCTCTTAGTTTCTTCCTCTATGAAATGAGGGGCTTGCCTAGTCCGGAAAACCCATTGCCATAGAGTCAATTCCAACTCATAGTGTCCCTATAGGACAGAGTATAACCTCCCCCATAGGGTTTCTAAGGCCGTTATCTTTACTCTTTCTCCTGCAGAGTGGCTGGTAAATTCAAACCGTCAACCTTTCGGTTAGCAGCTGAGCATTTAACCACTGTGCTACCAGGACCCCTCTTTGCTTAGTCCCGAAACCAACCCATTGCTAACGAGTCAATTCCAACTCACAGCGACCCTACAGTCCTAGTCCAGTGATTCTCAAATGTGAGTGTGCATCAGAATCACCTAGAGGCTGTGTTGAAACACACGTTGCTGGTCCCACCCCAGGGTCTCTGATTCAGTAGGTCTGGGCATGGGCCTAAGAATTTGCATTTCTAATGAGTCTCAGGAGGATACTGATGCTGCTGGCCCAGGGACCACACTCAGATGACCGCTCCATTCCATTCTGGCTCTGGCTCACTAGGAGAAGAGACCCTGCCCATGCTCTCTCCCAGTTGTAATTTCCATCTGCTCCTCCCTGGGGTGCCTCCTGGGCAAGGGAGCTTTCTGAGAACCAAGGTATTAGGGTTTTCATCTGACAACACGCTAGTGAACGAACAGGTCAGGGTCGGGTAGGGACAGAAAGGGGCTTGGGAGCAGCTAGTTCCTTCCCCAGCTGAGAGGAGAGGGGCCTCAGGATGGATGACTCCTGTCGGTGGCACCTGGCCCGGGCATTAGCTGGGCCTTTTGGGGCTCAGCAAGGGGAAGGCTGAAGCCCCACCATCAAGATCAAAGTCCCTTTGCTGAAGGTTGTTCTAGGTCTGCTCTTTTGGGAGGGCAGCACCCAGGTCTCCTGGATCCCTGTTGGCTGGGTAGCCACAGTGAGGAATGTCCTAGCATGATGATAAGGTGGTCTCGCCAGCCCCAGCCCATCAGTACTCAGTGCAGGCCTGTTCCCCCTCACACACTGCAGAGCAGAGACGAGGCCTTAGATGCCAGCTTGCTGAAGCCCCACATTGTATGAAGTGCCCCAGGAAAGGCAGGGGGCTTGAGCTCACCTCCTATTCCAGCTGCTCTCCCCTGCACAATGCTTCCTGGGGCTCTCTCCTGAGCAGACATTTAGGACACGCACCTCCCTCCATGCCACTCTCTCCCTGCCCATCGCAGGGACGAGCGCTTCAAACTCAGAGAGGTCTGGGGGCTTGGACCATGCCATGGTGCTTCGGGCTGCTGGAATCTGCAGTTTCTTCCCACCTGCGGCCACCCACTGGAGCTCAGCACCTCCCACAGCCCTCTGGGCACTGGAGGAAGAGAAGGATCAGCAGGGCTGGTGGCCCTAGACTCCTGCCCGGTGTGTCCTGGTTGAATTGTCATCGCGACCTGGAGGGACACTCTGACCCACCCGCACCCGCCTTTGTCTTCCCATGGAGAGCCAGACGCTGCCGACAGCTGGATGGCCAGGACTTCCTGGCAGAGAGTTCTGTCTGAGCAGGGGGTGGGTCCATTTTAATAACTTCATTTCACCCACACACACGCTCTGCAGCTCAGCTCTCCTTTTCTGCCTTCCTTAGTAACTTCTCGGCTAGGATCTGGCGAACAGATTTCCTCCCAAAGCTTAATTCCTTGGAATAGCGCTCTCGTCCCTGCTATTCTTGCCATTACCAGGTATTTCCTGTGCCCCTTGGTCCTTACAAGTGTAAGGGATCTATCCAACTACCTCTGGCTAGGAGGATGCCACCCCCTACTGCCCTTGGTAAGCAATTTCTATGGCATTCCTTGGGGGTCCCCAGTCACCACATAGTGCTTTTGCTCCTCTGACCTTCCACGCTTGTTATTCAAGCACTACAGGGGAGATTTCTCTGGAAGAAGCCTGTCTTCTCCCCCAGAAAGAAGGTCTAGCTTACCCTCGCCCTACCCCTGCAGCCTCCCTGGCCATTGCCTTTTAGGGCAATCTGGAGTCTCCTCAGACTGTTTATTCACCAGGTTCTGGTCCCGTGGTCCAGCTCCTTCAGCCACTCAATCTAGCTGGGGAGCTGCCCATCAGACTGGGGAGCCCCTGAGGCCAGGGCCTGTGCCTCCCTCATTGGATTGGAGTCTCCCTGAGGGCAAGAGCTGTAATATGGAGGAAGGGGAATGCGTGTTGTTTTCTAAGAGTCAGAACACCTGGAGGCTGCCTCTGCCCTTCAGCTTTGCACGAAGGCGCTGCCTTGGCCTCAGCGTTCCTGTCTCTAATGGGGTGACACTTCCTAGCAGTCTGTGCTGCTAATAAGAGGGAATAAATGGTAGGCCAACTGGCAGCAATGCTGAGTCTTCTTATTAAAGCTTAAGGCAAAAGTGAATGGTGTCTGGGTTCCTTCTCCCCGCCCCCTCCCATCCTCCTTCCTCGGGATGAGCAAGCGGGAACTGAGTCACCCCTTCCCCCTCCTTAGCAGGATGCTGGTGACCTTGCATGTGGCAGGCTCTGTGGAGAGGCCCATTGCTCAGAGCTACACATGGTGGGTGGGTGGGGAGGAAAGCCAGGGAAGGGTGTTGATGAAGGTGGAGGTAGCTGAAGGTCACGGGGTGCCCAGCGGCCTGGGCCATTGAGTGGGCATGTGTAGGGGGTGTGTGGAGGACACTCGGAACTGGTTGCTCTGTGTTGGAAAGCAATCCAATGTCATGACTGGGAGTGGGAGGGAGAGAGAAATGTTACTTCCGCAGATACTGAGTCCTGTGGTGCTGCCAGGAGAACCGGGGACTGGGGTGACGGGCAGGAAGAGGTACCACCGGCCCCACCAGGCAGAACAAAGATGGGGTGGGGGCGGCACCTACCGATTGTGACAAAGTCCTGGAGTGGCAGCTGCCACCATTGTCAAGGCACAAATGGCAGAGGGGACGTGGTGCCCACCACTTGGGTAGATTCTGATTCTGCAGGGGACCCTGTTTCCTGTAAGGTTGCCAGGCCCCAAGGCTGGCCTGATAATATTACAAGTGAAGGACGCCTAGTTAAGGGCTTCCAGGTGGTCTCAAGGGACAAGCTGGCACCTCCTGAACCACAGAGGCTGCCAATGCTGGCAATGTGGGTGTGGCAGGAAGCTATACCTGGGTCTCAATCCTGGGTCTGTCGCTTATTAGCTGGGTGGCCTTGGACAAATAACATAATCTCCCAGAGCCTCTTTATATGCAAAACTAGGGATCTACATACCGGGGAGCACCGTTGGGAAAAATTAAATGAGTTGCTTACAAGTGTTACTTCCTCTTTTCTTTGTTTTTGGAGATGAGATTATGGTCATTTCGACCCTGCTCCTGGTGTGGATAGGTGAAAGGCTGGGGGTACGAATCCTGAGTTTGTGTCCTGGTTCTGCCTCATGATAATCAAAGATGTAGTGAAACCCATGTGAAATTGTGCACTACAGATTATTAAGTAAACACAAGTAAGCCCCTGCATTCCTTGCTTCCTGGTTAATCCACCCCTGGATTGCTGGAGTTCTAGCTGCCGTCTTAGACCAGGCAGACAAGACCTACAGTATAGAGGTGGCAGAGTGGTAGGCTGGAAGAAGTCTTGGTCCCTGAAAATTTTGCGGGATAGGAAGTCTACCTTCAGACTCTCATGTGAGAGAAAATAAAAAATTTATATCTTATTTAAGCCACTATGCTTTGGGTCTCCATTTCTTGCAGTTACATCTAATTCTGATTCAATGGGTTTATTTGAGCACCTTGCTTCTGTGGACCTTAGTTTCCTCATCTGTAGA